GTAGATGTCATCATTATGATGAACGGGATTCCTGTTTATTTCACACAGTTGCATTTGATACGTTTTATTTCACTCAATTAAATATCACAGACCAGAAGTAACACAGATTAATATGAACTGAAACCAGAGAAAGCATCATAAAAATAAACTTTCTTCCATAAAGGAAGAAGTTGAGATTTATAATGGAAGTAAGAAAGGACAAAACAAAAACCACGTCAGCATCATCACAGACGATTAGAAAGATTCAAACAGCTGATTTTATTTAACCTCCACATCAACTCTACAAACTTTAATGAAAATAAACACCATAAAAATAAAAGCACATTGTTTGCAATAGTCCTCATTAAGCGTTTTGATCTACGATGGTCATTAATCACTAATGTTTGTGGATATTTACGGATGTAACTCGTGCAGGTTTTTAATCACGAGTCTCACTGCCGTGTGTCTGTGGCTCAGCCTAACTTTGTCACCTCCCTGACTGCAGACATCTCCTCACCTGTCTGTCTGAACACCTCGCAGCCTCCGGCGCAGGCAGGGGTGTCCAACTCCAGGCCTCGAGTGCCGGTGTCCTGCAGGTTTTAGATCTCACTCTGGGTCAACACACCTGAATCAAACGATTAGTTCATTACCAGGCCTCTGAAGAAATTCAAGACCTGTTGAGAAGGTCATTTGGTAATTTAAATCAGCTGTAGTGGATCAAGGACACATCTGAAGCCTGCAGGACACCGGAACTCGAGGCCTGGAGTTGGGCACCCCTGGGCGCAGGTAGAGACGTTTAACGGAAAGCGAAGCGGCCGTTTGATGGCGTCAAACATCAGATAGACGAGTCTAACAGCTCGTGAGTGAACTGCTCAGCTGGAACCACACGACACCTGCAACGCTTCCGGCTGCACACGAGTCATAAATACAAATTATAAGATAATTAAGTAAAAGGCGATTGATAGAAGTTTAACAACCACCAATAATTCCCATTGCGCAGTCTAGCCACGTACAGAAACAGATCGATCAATAAATCAATAATGAAAACAGTTACATTTTTACTTGTATAGGCTGATGCTATTGAAGATGTTATATTCCTGTTTGTAACTGACCTTGGACAACATGGCTCAGTGTGAGCATTTAGCATGTTTTCCTCCTTTGTCTCTGATTTTTAAGTTGTCCTGCTCGGCAAAGATTAAAACAAAATCCCAGTTTGCCAGCATTTCATTAAGTCTTCTTAATATTATTAAATCGTGCCGTTTCCCTCTTACTGACGCGTCCTATAATAGCTGTAAACGTATTTTGGTGCAGAAATGTGAACAGATAGAACTTCCGAGGAGTGTATAAATAAAATAAAAATTCCCCTTAAAATTTCGGCTCACCTGAGAGGCGCATTAAAGCTACTCAACAA